CTCTGTGCTAAATAACTTTTTAGTCATAGTATATTACTGGATGCTTTATGATGTAATAAAAAAACCCCATAACTACCACTTTGTGTACTTCACTTTCAAGGTTAACCATCAAGGTTTTAGATTTTCATACAAAATACAGAGCTCTAGAAGCTAGACATGGTTTTCAATTTTGTGTAAAATTTATAGGTACAATATCAAGAAATGCAAATCATAGAATGATAGAATATTTTGGGTTGGAAGGGGTATTAAAAATCATCAAGTTCTCAAGTCCTGTGCCATGGACAGGGGCACCTTCCAGAAGACCAGGTTTATCAAAATCCCCATAGAATCTTGCCTTGAACAATTCTAGGGATAGGGCATCTACAAATTCCCTGGGTAACCTGTTTCTGTGTCTCACCATTCCCACAGTAAAGAATATTTTTATAAGATCTAATCTAATTCTAACCCTGAAAAAAATTTGACATTGTAACCAGTTTAAATATATGTGTTCTCAGTAAGACACTTGGAAAATGTTAATTGTCATCAATTCTGTCTATGAAAGAGAGGAGGTTACTGTATTTGCAAATTAGAAAATATTTCATCATGTTTCACAATAGCAAAAATGGAACAAATAACCATTTTAAAAGGCACCTAGAATTAATTTTCAGAGCTTAAAATAAAATCAAAGTGACACAGAATTGATTTTGGGAAAACTTGCATTTTGTGACCACTGTGGAAACATGCATTGAAAGAACAACTTGATTTGAAGCTGTGATAAAGTTCCCTGCAGTGCTTCTACATTTATATTCATGAAGATGCCATTAAGACTCTAAATTTATTCAAAGTGCCAGCAGTCCTTTAAGAATGGCTCATGCTAAACATGCAACAATTAAGAAGGTCTGAGCTTTCTCAGAAAATTTCTTAATTTTCATTAATTCAGGAAATATTTGCAGGCCTTTTCCAGAGATACAAAACATTTTGAAATAAAGAAAATAATTTACTGAAAACAATATTTTATGGTGAATTACTCTGATATTTCACAGACAAGTCTGAATGCAGGTTATCACTATTTAAGGTTGTTATAGACATCTCTTAAAGATAGATCACTTGTATGCACTATTATAAAGTATTGTTTGCAATCATAGAATACTATGAGCAACTGAGCAGCAAGTAGAACAAAATTAAGGGGAAGGTGGGACACTTCAGGGTCAGTAATGATGCTGTTAGTTTTTGATAATGCTTCATTCTGCTTTTCCTCAGTGGAGGAATTCCTTCCCTCTCTGGGTATACTGCTACATGGTTATTTTGCTTTCCCATTTTCCCAGTTTCTGTTGTTTCTTCCATTATCACTCTGTAGTAGATTTACTGTTTAAACTTCCCATTGCAGTATACTCCACATAAATCTCTCTGGAACAGCCTGAAAGATCTCTCTACCAAGCCATTAGTTTAACTGCCAGAAAACTGGAGGTGGGATATATTACAAAATTATCTAGCCCAGAGGAGTAGCTATCTTATCCCCAAGCATTCATTTAAAATTTTTCTAGAAAAAAATGGGCATCTTGGGGGGAACAACAACTTGCCCAGACTAACCCTGCCTGAGGCCAAGGATTTTACCAGGAAATCTCGGGAGGTCCCTGCCAACCTCAACCATTCTGTCTCTGTAATATACAGAGGAATCTCGTGGTATAGTGGTGGGTCAGCTTATGAATTTAGATGCTTCATTAAAACATTTAAATGTAATTTCAGAAACATTAGTAAACACAGAAAAGCCAGGCTAAAGCTCAAACATACAGGACAGAGTATTTTAGGTAATGTGAAAACTCACATCATATTTTAACTAGCTCCTCATGGAGTAATTTTTTTTCTCTGGAAAGAAGCATACTGGACTTTTTATTTGGTAGGTTTGGCCTTTCATTTTATTTTTTTCTTTCAAGTGTAATGAATTCTCCATTTCTTTTCACAGAACTCCTTCATATCTTATTGAATAAATAGGATTAAATTACTTGAAAATCTTTTTAGAGCCATAGACAACTCATTCCTAACTAATTTTTTTCCAACTCTGATGCATTTATGAATTACACTCATGGCTTCTGAACAGGAAACCTACCCAACGGGATTTTATATACTTATTAAGTAGGGCATTTCAGGTGCAATAATTAAATTTGTTTATATGTCTGGGTTTTTTTTTCACTTTCTGGATGGTTGTGAGACATATCCAAAACTGTGCTCTGTAGAAGAAATTGAACAAAACTCACATATAAAATAAGAGATGCAGCACACTGAGCATAATGAGACCTTCCTGCAATCAATCTCTTCTGTTGTTTACCACTCTGTTGTCACTGGAGTTGACGTAAAGGTGCCAGACTCTCTGCAGAGGCATCTAAAGATTTCCTAACTTGAAGGTCATAACCACAAAGAAATCATCAGATTTATTTCTGCAGCAGAAATATCTACTTCCAAGACATTGTTTTGAGATAAAACTGAATGCATCATCTTTTCCCCAGACTTTTTTTCTTCCCATTGCCTTGTATACTTAAAAATCTCTGTTGATGTTGTTTTGTAGAAGCCTAGTTTCATTCGTTAATTAGAGCAACTGTAAAGAAAGATCCATAGGTATTTTAGTAAAGTGTAATATTTTGTGTTTGTGTCACAATTTTATTCAATGCATGAAATTTAATTTATATCTTGTTTAGTATCTAGATTTCAAAATTAATCATAGTTCTTCTGAAAAATGCAGAAAAAACCCTCTGAAATGTCTGTTTTCTATAGAGGCCGTCATGTTCAATTTAAATTTCAAACCCCTGTACATTGTAGTCAGATTTATGTATACTATATGTTCTAACATTTGCATAAAAACAATTACATATTTGATCATTATCTTTTAGCATTTGAAAAAGGGAAAAATATAATTCTTAATTGGTGAAATATTTTGAGATAATTTCCCAAAGAAAGTTCTTGCTAAATACAGGCAGAAAAAAATGAGTAATCTCAAGCTCACTTTTCTTCTGCTTAAAGAAGTAATTTTTTGACAGGTTAAGAAGGCTCATGTAATGAGAAATTCTTTGTCAGGGAGAATCACAAGTCTAATGAGAAAATAAGTGTATGGGACATGAGAACTGGCACCTAAAATGCTATTTAGTATATATTTTATGCAGTGCAGAGAAATTAACGATTAGAGAACTTCCTTGGAAGTGCTTGCACTGTTAAGATAAATAAAAATCTGACTCATTAATTTTCTTCCCAGATGCTGCTATAACTGCAAGATATTTATCACAACAGTTCTCTCTCTCCCCCTCTATGCTGTTTTTTTTTTGTGTGTGTATCCTTCTCTTACAGCACACCTGGGAAACAATACAAACCAGCAGATCTCTCACTTGTGGAAATGTTTGGTTCCCTGCTCTTCACTTCCTTACTTATTGAACAAAGGTTTCCAAACCATAAACTACCCATTGAAAATAAATCAGAAGGGTTATAAATTTCTACAAGCAGATGTTTAAAAGGCTACATGCTTGATGTGCAATTCAGATGCAGTAAATAATCTGGGGCTTCTGCCTCTTTTGCCACTTTAATGACATTGTCTTCTCATATCCTGATAGAAAACTAATGAGTAGTAAATTCAAATTATGTGTCAGACCAATCACTTATACAAATCCACCTGCTTCAAGCAAAAGTATCAGAATGGTAAGTAGTAAAATATTTAAGTAGTAAATATTTATGGAGGTCAGTTTTTGAAGTGTGAAAATGATCCAAAGTGTTTATATCTGGCTATAAACCTTGGGTTGCACCATTTTAAGTTAGGTTCCAATATACCTATTAAAAAAGAACATTGTAAAGTAAATGCATCATAAATCCCTCTAATGTATTAGGGTACACTTTCTGAATACTTCCATAGTTGTTAGGCATATTCTTGGCTGTGAATACATGCTTATACAGTAAATTATACAAATTTTAAGCAGTAGCTCTTTGAGGCACATTTTCAAGAAAATTCAGCGGGAGTAAATACTGTGAAAAAAGATAAATTTTAAGGTGTCTTTGATTAAATGGCCTCATAGACTGTGCACCAGAAAGCTTGTTGACATTGGAGTTTAGAGGTCTGAATGGTCTGTGAGAAATGCATTTTAAAGTAAGTGTCATAGCAAGGGGATCTCCAAAGACTGCTGCTAATTAAAGCTAAAATCATGACTCCCTTCAAAACAATAAAATAACCCATGGATAACCTTTTTTTTTCTTTTTGGAAGAAAACTCATCTTCATATATAGAGAAAGAGTAATTAAGTTAACTCACATAACTTTTCTGTCAACAGTAGGATCCATTTATTCACTTTTATTCTTTTGCTTTATCCTATGTAAAAAAAAAAAAAGTTGGCATTATTTAATAATACTGTTTAGGGTTTCTAGGTCCTCTAAAATTTTAGTGAGTCTAATGTTCCTGTGTAAGTTCAAGATCACTAAATGTCTTAACTAGTGTCTGGAAGCAGATTATTTTTTTTTTTTACCTCAGCATTATTATCGTGATGGAAAAACAAAACAAAACAATCACACCCAAAAAACCCCCAAAACAAAACAAATCGAAGAAAACCCCACAGAAGTTGTTCATAGATGTCTTCCCTTTGATGCTTAATATCGTGATGAAGTGAAAGTACTTTTTTGAATTTGTTTTTGCCTATGGAAGAATTTTGTTATAACACTCCATATCTGTACAAAGGAAATTTCCACTTCTGTTATTTCACTGTGCCAGTGAATGTTTTTCATAAGGTGCTATGGATTTAATGATCTTTTGATGCAGATTTCTGAATAGCTAATGCAATAACTGTAGTTGGAATGGATCAAGTGTTGCCAGACTGCACTTTCTTAAAGTGTTGTTACTCACAGGTTTGTCAAGTGAAGAGTAACTCAAACATTTTTCTGTCTTTTCACAAAAAAAAAAAAAAAAAAAATCGAAATTTGCTCTTCACTTTCTTACCAACCTGTTTATTGACTTGGATAAAACCCCAAACATACTTTTTGTTCTTTGTTTTCCAGTTTTCAATAAAATGTATTGAGGAGTAGCTTGTAATGCAGAATAGATAAAAATCTTACAGCTATCACAGCGTAAGCGGGTATTTTACCATCTGGGGCCATTGCTGAATCAGATGGGTGTCCTGGTGATGGAAGACACTGTTGTGGTGAGTTTTGTTATCTTGGATTCTCTAATATAAATGGTCAGTTCCGATTTCCCCCCATATTTTGTATTTCCCCAAACTGGATTATTCCCAGTTACGTTCCTCCCCTTTACCTCTCAATTGTAATCCCCACCCTGCATTCCAGTGCCTTCCCTGTCCATCACTGTAAACCCTGCCCCTTGCTCTGGATCCTTTCCTGTCAATCCCTTGTTAGCCCATCCCCTTGTGCTACCTCCCCTCTGGAAATTCCTTCATACTTGGGCTCCCATTGGCCCATGTGGCCTGCCCTCACCTTCCCTTTTTCCCATTGTTCCCTTGATTATAATCTCCTCCCTTCACTCTTCCCTCCCAGATTCCCTACTGGTTGGGTTTTGTGCCGGCTCCTTGCACCTCCCCCATATAAAAATCCCTGTACACCCTTGTTTGGTGCTCTTTGATCCCTGATCCCTTCATGAATTAAACCTCTCCCTGGAGCCCCTACCAAGAGCCTCCCTCTCATCCTTCCCCTTCTCCTTGTGCCGACCCCAAAAGCACTGTAGAGCAGCAGCTCTAAGGTTCAGCTTGTAACCCTCAGGTCAGGAGCTGTTCCCCACTCCTGGCATGGTGTGAGCTAGCTGGGAGTCTGGCACAGCGTCAAGATGCAGCGAAGGCAGAATCACTGAATGCCTTCTTTGTCTCGGGCTTCACTGCTGGCCCTCAGGAGTCACACAGACTTCTGAGGGAGAAAGGCTGGATAAAGGAAAATGTGCCCTTGGTCACAGAGGGTTGGGTGAGAAAATGGTTAGATGGACTTATCAGTCATAAATCCATGGCACCTAATGGGATGCACCCACAGGTGGTGAGGGAGTTGGCAGATGCTGTTGCTAGGCTGCTCTCTGTCATCTTTGAAAAATCATGGAGAACAGGAGAGGTTCCTGATGGGTGGAGAAAATCCAGTGTTACTCATCTTCAGAAAGGGAAAGGAGGACCTGGGAAACTATTGGGAAACAATCAGTATCACTTCTATTGCTGGAAAGGTGATGTAACAGGTCATTCTGGATATCACCACCAAGCATGGGAAAGAAATCAAGGTGATCAAGGGTAATCAGCTTCAGCAGGATTCATGAGGTGGAAAACATGCTTGACCAATCTGATAGCCTTCTGACAGCATGGCAGGATGGGGTGATGAGGAGAGAGCAGAGGGTGTTGTCTGCCTTGGCTTCAGGCTTTTGACATTGTCTTCCATGGCATCCTTTGTAGATAAGCTCAAGCAGTGAGGGTTAAATGAACGGACAGTGAGATGGATCAAGATGGCTTAATTGCAGAGCTCAGAGGGCAGTGATCAGCAGAGTAGAATCCAGTTGGAGGCCTGTGGTCAGTGGCATTCCCCAGGAATCCACACTGGGTTCAGTCCTATTCAGTTTGTATATCAATGACCTGGACAGAATGCATCCTGAGCAAGTTTGTGGATGATAGGAAAATGGGGAGAGTGGCTGATACACCTGAAGGCTGTGCTGACATCCAGCAGGACCCTGATAGGCTGCAGATTTGGGCAGAGAGAAACTGTATGAGGTTTACTAAGGGCAACTGTCCAGTGATGCATCTGGGGAGGAACAGCCCCAAGTATCAGTACAGGGCTGGACTACTGGAGAGCAGTTCTGCAGAGAAAGACTTTGGATTTGGTGAATGAATATTGATCATAAGCCAGCAATGCCCTTGTGACCAGGAGTGCCAGTGGGATCCTGGGGTCCATCAGAAAAAGTATGGCCAGCCGGCTGAGGGAAGGGATCCTGCCATTTTACTCAGTCTTAATGTGGCAACATCTGGAATGTTGTGTTCAGCTCTGGTCTCCACAGCTCCAGAAAGACAATGAGAAGGTCTGGTAGAGTCTACAAAGACAACTGGGGTTCAGGAGCATCTCTGTTATGAGGAGATACTGCAGGAGCTGGGCCTGGAGAAGAGAAGACGGAGGATCTCATCAATGCAAATATCTCAAAGGTGGGTGCCAGACCCTTTTCAGTGGTGCTGAGACAGGACACAGAGCAATGGCCATAAATTAAATGTAAGAAATCATACCTCAACCTAAAGAAGAACTTTACACTCATGGTGGCAGAGCACTAGCACAAGCTGCAAAGGAGGTTGTGGAGTCTCCCTTTCCAGAGACCTTCAAAGCCTACCTGGACTGTTCCTGTGTCACCTCCTCTAGGTGACCCTGCACTGACAAGGGGGTTGGACTGGATTATCTTTTGAGGTCCCTTCCAGTCCCAACTATTCTACTATTCTGGGAAATACTGACTGCCAATAGGCAGTCTCGCAGGTCTTTAATTAATCACAACTGCCACTTCTGATATTCAACTTCTTTTATTGTTTGTTTATTTTCATTTTGGTTTTTGTTGCTGTGTATGGTTTTGTTTTGTTTTATCTACAAAAAGCTGAAAGAAAAAACACATATTGCTAATTATTTTAATTTTGCAGTAGCTATGACCTGAACATTTCAAAAGGGAATAAAAAGAGGACACTTTGAAAAAACAGTACAAATCTTAATGAACTAAATCACACAGTCATCTTGTGACACTACAGAATTATTTTGATCTGTCAAAGGAAATAATAACATTTACAGTGGTAATAAAATTAGAAGTAGAATGTTTTTACATAGTAAAGTCATTCTGAGATGATAGTTAAAAAAAATAAAAAAGTATTATCAGGAGTTAGGGGAAAGTCCATACATTACTCAGCTTATATCACAATGTAATGAACAAAAGGGCCCGAGGAACAGGCTGTTGAAAAAGTTAAAGCAATTCAAAAAGAAGCCCTAGAAATGCAGTAAAAGAATCACACCATCTGTGTGATTCTAACAGGGAAGGAGCAGCCAACAAAATGTCATTTGGAGAAAGGGAATACTCAGCCTTCTGAGACAATCCAGTGAACAAGAAAGGCATACTTAGGTCAACATGGTAAACCTTTCTTTTTGCCCTAATATCTAGCTCATGTCAATAACATTTAATAGGTTCTAACAGCCATTTTTGAAAACTGGTTATGAGAAACTAGTTTATCAGTTGCCAAGAAACAAATACACTAAGAAAATGGTTTTCTCTGGTTCCCTTGTTAGTGCCATATACTCTAAATGATGCCTTTTCTAGACGGATTTTCCCTGACACACAGAGACACACAAGATTCCTGATGTTTTGTCAGATTTTATTTAATAAAAATAGCACAACTTGTTACCACAGCTAAAAATAATTCGTAAAGTAAAAGAGTAATTAAAGAGAGAAGAGCATTGTGGCAAAGGAAGATAGAAATTATGATTATAAGGGCATTTTTAATATCAGATGGTAAAGTTTATAATGAAGCCTTCAGGATTTTGGAGCAGAAATATCTCTTGCTTCTCTAGCAGATTTGCTGCTGGAAGTTTCTGATCCTCATACAGACACAAGATTTTATTGTATTTACAAAAAGCAAAAAAAACCCCACCCTTATTAGTTCTTTATCCTAGAGGCTCGGGTTAGAAAGTATTTAATTTCCAGAAGACAGTGACACTGAAACTTAAGACTGTACAATTCAAATGAGGAACATTTTAATGCCTTACACACAACTGAAACTTCCCCAATTCATTAGGAGCATTAGATTTTGAGCTTTCCTTGTATTAATCACTATGTCAATTACAAATTAGGAAAGCTGACTTTTAACCAGCTTTTTTATACAAATGTAAATAGCATTTTCCTGCAAGACACGTGGGGTTGCTCAATATCAATGAGAACTCTCAAGGTACTCTCTCCAGATTTTGTTCTATATATTCAAAACAGCAGAATGAAACTAAGAGAAGAGCAGGAGACACGATGAGGAACGTGCACACTGTATTTAGCAGGCCTAAAAGGAGCAACAAGAGCCACACCAGTGAGAAGAGGAACTGCCTCACTCAGGTGGTTTTGGATCCAGCATTTGAAGAGGGACTGTTTTGATACGTCAGCTTTGAAGCACTTCTGTTATGGTATAGTTATGCTGGTTTATTCTAGCTAAGGCTATCCTTTGGTGTCTTCTACATAGAGATTCTGTACATGGCAGAGCCTCTTAATACCATCAGCAAACATTTATTCAATATGAATTATGTTCTTAAATGAAACACCAGCATATGCATCAGATCTGAAGGCCTCCCTCTAACAGAAGTCTGCTTTTCTTATAGACTGAATGAGCAGCTCTGTGTTATATACTTGTCCGTCCTCAATACATAAGAAGTCCATGTTACTGTCCTATATTTTTAAAAGTTCCAACAGCTGCCTTAACTAATTTGATAATAACAAAAAGAAAAGAGAAGAAAATCTTTGAGGGTAATAAGCAAATTTGGAAACACTTCATAAGCCTGAATGGTTTTGTAAACTAAATATCATTCACTGAAGGAAGAAATTACCATATCAAATAATTCGTGGGACCTCAGACCAGGAACTAAACTGCAAAAGGTGGCAGGAAATTATAGTGGGGCACAGAACATAATTTTCAACAAAATTCTGTTTCTCTTTCTTAATAACAAGTTTCTGGAAGTGAATGCTCAGTTAGAAATCATGTATTATTGGAAATTTAATCATATTGATACATGGAAGTTTCACTGTATTAGTGTCAAAGTGTCAACCTCCCCAAATTAATCAGCATGTGTTAATGACACAGATGGTAAATTCTACCATCAGAAGCTGAATTGCCAATAGTTCACTTTTCCAGATACAGGGTGAATTACTTTTTCATCTAAAGGAATCCTAATCTGCAAATCTTTCTTTTACATAAATGCTGTCTGCTAAAATCTTTTAAATTTTACCATGCCTTATTCAAACGAGAACTATACTTTAACAAACTTTCTAAAAGCTGAATTACTTCTAAATTTCTGAACTAACATTTTTAATACACATAACTATTGTTATTCAGTTCTGCTTATTGTGATGATTCTGTCATTTCTCTTAACTTGAGCTGTGCCCTGCTATTGGAAAGAGCTTGTCATATTTTATGAAACAGTTATGGTGAAAAAATACATGAAAAGCTGAGAAGAAAGTGTAAAGCAAGAAAGGAACAAGAAGAAATATGGATTAATGTTGCCTAATTTTTGAGCAGGTTATTAAATAACTGGAACATAGCAATTACCTTTAAAAATGGCTCTGTCTCTATGTGCAGCTAAGAACAGTCAAGAGATTTCATCAGAATTACTTCCTACACTTATGTCTCTGAGAAGCACATACATGGTTCACAAAAAAAAAAAGAGATTTTTAAAATATCTCAATGCTATTTTATCTTGCTAGCGTCAAAATCAATATTCCCTAATATTTGAAGTACCAAGCACTTACCTTGCTGATGCTTCACTTCTTTGATAATGTTTTCTTATGTCCAATTAAAACATTTTAAACATGTCCCTTTTAATATATGTAAAATAATTAAAATAATTAAAAGCTCTTTGAAACATAAATGTTTTTAAAATAAATATAAATAAACTGTTTTGAAACTCAGTCTTTCTTAGGGCTGTTCACCAGCATACTTAGTAAAATATCATTGAGTAAACAATCAAATATGCAATTTTCTACTTTTTCATTGCTCACCTTGTATCTAAGCAATTTATAAGAAGATAATGTGTTGACTGTAAATATATTGTTTAACTGCAAAGTTAATTTAATTTAAAACAGCTGAATAATAATAATAATAATATAACAGCCAAATTTAACTAAAAATATCCTTCAGTCTTTACACATTTTGCTTTGAAATTAAGATTAATTTCCTTACACTGATAAGGAAATATATAAAATATACCAAGTTTATTGTTACTGGGTAGGATTAGTTTCAGTGAAACATGGTGTTTGTGAAACAGAATTCTTGTTCAGTGACTGATGCTCTATGTCTTATTCAGATTTTTAAAATCTTCTAGTGTAATAGTAATGAAAATAAAAAATAAAAACTATTGTCGAGATGTATCTCTCATAAAACCCTTGCTTAGAAGTATTTGAAATTAAAAGTCAAGCCCTCTCAGTAACTGGGTAATGGCACAGCAATTTAGTAATTAAGTAATTTTCTTTTTGTACAGACATGACCTTTTTCAAGGTTTTGAAACCCTATACACTCAGATAGAGTAGCAGAAGAATTAATTTTTTTATTTATTTTTCTATTACTAGGAAAAAAAATTATATAAAAAAGCAACAGTGAGTGGAGTAGAAAGTTATATCAAAAATATATTTGATCACACCTGTGACACTTTTATAGTGAAATTAGTCATCTTGTGATAGCATACAACAAGTGCCTCAACATACATTAATATATATGAATATATTAATATTATGAATTTACAATGCACATTGATTAGTGTTCAAAACTGAGAAATGAATGAAAACTTAAAGGGAAACATGAAGATAAATAAATTCTTTGTAATGCACAAACAAAAAGAAATTACTTTTTTCAGTAGAAAAAACAGAAAAGAAATGACCTTTTAAATTCCATGAATAGCTGAAAGCATACCATTTGAACAAACAAACAAAAGTATTATAACTATTTCTAAGAATAACACAAAGCTCATTTTTTAGGAAGTCTGAGTCTCAGCTGGGACTAAAACTGGCCAAATATTTCAAGTGTAAGTAAAGGTCCTTAAGATAGGTAAGCAGTAGACAGAAGCACAGGAAAGATGCTGGCTCAAAACAAATCAATTCTGGCAAAATATTCACTGGGAATTCTTTTATTCTGTTCTATCATCTTTGTGAGTCAGAAAATTGGGACTGAATATGCATTTGGCCCATGAATTAGAATTAACTACCATACAGCATGGTACCATAATATTTTTTAATTCTGTCCCAAAGAATAGAATTATCTCTCTGTCCTGGAAAACAGTTTATTTAAAGGAATGTAAATGCAAGTTCCTCCTTGGTTATTCTTTATTAGATAGAAATAAAGGAAATATTGCAAACCAGTTTGCAGTAGGTAATACTTCTCACCCCCTTTTTCACTCCAGTCATGCTCTGCATTCTTTTTTTTTTTTTATTTTTGTTCCACATTCTCCAAATATGTAAAAGGAAGATTGGAAGATTGTGTTATGGATAGGATACAAATTCCATCTTTCCAGTAAATTCTCAAATCTCATTTAAAAGGATTTTGCACATTTAGGTCAGCCTGGTTTGGACACATTGTACATACATGCTGAAGAAAGAAGTCAATTGCAACTACAAAATTGTATTCATACTATTTCCACGTGGAAGATCAAAAAGCATTTCTTTGTTCTTCATCAAAATAAAATGTCTTAAAGTCAAAGCAGCTTTGGATTGGAATTATACAACAGTATATAGGTGTTTCCAAATTTTTAGTGTTTAAGACCATTTCAAGTAACAAGAATTGGTGCCAAGCTTGTAGGTGTACTATGTCAGAATCCTTAGAATGATAAGAAAATACTCTCTTCATGCATTTGAAAATCTTTGAAGATGTTCTTATTGCCAAGGACATCGTGAAACTTAAAAAAGTACTAAACCTGCCACTTTTTAAATCAAAATGTAAAACCAGTATTAAAAATTAATGGCATTTTTTCTATCTTGCTAATGTTTCCCAAACATCAATAACATTCATCTAAGAAATGGAAATCACAAATGGAACTAAATATAAAACAATTGACTCAAACAGGGCATGAACGAAGGAAAAATGAATTTTTTTCTGAACTGAATAAAATACTACATGAAGAAAACAGTGTTTGTTTTTGAATTTAATGATGATTAAAATGCTTCTGCATGTTTGGAGCACATAAATAATTTATTCAAACAAATACTGACCTACTGTACTTTCACCTGTAGAGACATAATGAAAAGAGTCAACTTCCCCCACACACATCTGTATGTGTAATGCACATTCCATGTCGCCCTGGTAGTCACAGCAGTGTGAAAGACAGCATAGACCTCCTGTCATTAATTATCTGGACACTTCTGACCAGGACCTGATGTATGTCCTATTTGTGAATACAAATGATTCAGTCTGATAAAGCTTTCTTCAAAGTAGAGAATCTTCTGAGTAGAGATGAGAGAAATCACTTAATTCTTATCCATGTCTTATTTCCACTTCCAATATTTTGATAATGCGCTTTCCAGATTTAGGGTTCTTTTAGGTTTTCAAGGAAAGAAATTTTATTTTATTTGGGCTTTTTTTTTTTTTTTTTATTTTTTTTTTAAGAGACAGAAATATTTCTGTGTTGTGATGGGTTGGCTTTGATCTACAGTCGAACACTCACACAGCCATTTTTCATTTTCATTTTTCATTTTTCACAGCTGTTTTGTGAGTTTAGCTGAGTTTTCTATAAAAATACAAAATTCCAAAAATGCAGCATTTTATTCACAACAAAGGGCTAAGGTGTATTCTGTTGTGCATTCATTGCTACTCGCCACCCCAGGGCATCCCCTGGCTGTCTCCCCCAAAGATTTTCCCAGCAGTGTCCCCCACCAAAACCCTGCCATTTTCATGCAATTTTCATCATCCTTTCTATGTATGTTTTATTCTAATAAAAAGTCTTTTTGTATTGTTTTGTAAAATCAGATGGAAAATATCAAAGCAGAATATATATTTTAAGTTATTTGATATTTTTCAGAGCAGGTGAAAAGCAAATCTTTATCTTGGAAATAGTTTTCACAGTAAAGTGTAAAAGAGTACTGACTTATCTGCTATCTTCACTATTCTAATAATTTCATTAAAAAAATACCAAAAAGAAAGTTTTTTTCCCCGGAACTGTGAGTCTGTATTCAGTATTTTAAGTCTGTATTCTGTATTTTAAGGGATTAAATTAGCACTCAGTTGGAGAAAAGATAAATGAGTAATTTCTGTTACATTGTATGGAGTTTCGAAACAGGTGGATTATTTATTTTACTTTTTGAGATGGACACATAATATATTTCTAGTTTGGACCCCAAAAACTCAGTAAATTATTTATTTGGTTTTATATATATGAAATAATCACAGATCTAAAAAACAATGCAATGAACTAACTTATACAACAGCAGATTTCATTGTCTCACTGCTCAAGCTTTAGTTTAAATAGCTATTTAAAATTAACTCAGCATTTACTGATTTTTATCTACATACAGATAAATTGTGCATAATTGGTGCTAAAGCAGATGCTAATGAAGGTGCTAAAGAAGTTTTTAATGGTTGCTAATTTCGTCTTTCAGTTTACAGCTTGCACCTTAGAGAGACCAGAGTGCAATCACAAGTAACACCAGCATGCTAACCTGACTCAGCCAAGGTTGGAAGTATTTGTGGTAACTTTACTCTAGAGCATAATTTTAGAGTCTCCCTCTGTGTGAGAAGGAAAATAAAACTGGTCAAAAATTTGTGTTGAAGCATATAAAGTAGGTGCAGGTAAAATATACACATAAAACCCATTAATTTTTTTAAGTCGTATATAAAAGAATAAGGGATGTAGAAGGATGTTTGGAAAAGGGGACACAGTTTCATAGAAAATAGGTGTGTGCTTATACCTACCATGCTCTTTCCCACTCCCCCAAATATAAAAAAAAAAAAAATTGGCCTTTTTGTAAAGTTAATAACTAACTCCATAATTGGTCAAATTAAAATGAAACAAACAAAAAAGCCCTGAGATCCTAAACTGGAAAAAAAACCAAACAAAGCTCATTATTCAAACATAATCACTGAGATCACAGCATAAAGCAGTGACAGAAAGCAGGGTCAATCACTGAATATTCCTTTCATCTTATTAGAAAGATGAAATAAGTATCATAGACACATGACGGACTGTCATTGTTCAAGAAGATGTCTTTCAGCATTAATGTTGGCAAAACTACCTCCTATTTCTCTATGGAAAGAAACACTAATTTAATTTTTGTTAATGTCTTATAAAAAGGGAGGAATATAGATATCCCTTGCCTTTTGCAATTTATTTCAGTTTCAGTAATAGCACGTAGCAAAGCAAAGGGACCCAATTAAATTGCAGATCATGAAACAAGATAATGAAATAAGATGTCAAGCAGCTGTCAATTCTAAATTCAAAAGAAAACTTCACAAGGGGTAAAATGTGATTGATTGATTGATTGATTGATTGAGCAAAACCCAGAAATCCTAATTCTGAAACACAAATTTGTAACCCACTGCTGAGAAACAAAACATAAGCCTGCTTTCCTTTAGACACCATTCAATTTATCTTTATCTTCCCTCCCAGTTTTTCTGTATTGGTAGATGTAGACTTCTTGGTAGCATATTAAAACCAACCATTGTGAAAGTGCTGGAGTGGAAGGTGTCTCCATGGAAACAGTAGTTAAAATTGGGTAGTAAAATATGCTAGTATAA